TCAGTACTAGGCAGAGAGAAGCTTATGGGGGGGAAGTGTGGCCAACATAGGAGGTGGCACGTCAGTATGGATTTAATGGAGCCCAGGTTCCACCTCCACGGGGACAGGCACAATCCCCCACACACCCCTCAGCAAAGGCCACCTGCCCTAAGCCTGCAGCCCATCTCCCTCTCCTTCCCGGAGCCCTCTTGTGCCTGGTACTAGTGATGTCTGAGATGAACCTCTCCCTTTCTGCCCACCTTTCGTCCCACTGTGTGTATCCCCAGAACTGCAGCTTCCTAGATGAGAGCAGCTGCCAGTGAGAAGGCCCCAGACCCTGGCTGCCTCACTATGTCCCTCCCTCTGCACCCTTTTCCAGATCATGCATGACCTTACCACTCCCTCCAGAAGCTACAGCCTCACTGAGGGACCCCTTCTTGCTTTCCCAGTAGGGGGTGACTGTAGGACCTCTTGGCTTTCTCTGTGGGGAGGGGTCATGAGGTAGGAGGCAGGCTGGGCTCAGGCAGAGAGACCTCTGCTCAGAGAAGACGGCTAGGAAGCGCTGCTCTGGCGGGACACGGTGGCTTATGCTTGCAATCCCAGCACTTTGGGAGGCCAAGGCAGGCAGATCACCTGAGGTTGGGGGTTCGAGACCAGCCTGACCAACATGGAGAAACCCCATCTCTACAAAAATACAAAAAATTAGCTGGGCACGGTGGCGCGTGCCTGTAATTCCAGCTACTCAGGAGGCTGAGGCAGGAGAATCCCTTGAACCCAGGAGGCAGAGGTTGCAGTGAGCCGAGATCACACCATTACACTCTAGCCTGGCCAACAAGAGCAAAACTGCATCTCAAAAAAAAAAGTGCTGCTCCTAGGTGTGCGTGATCTGCAAGACTGGCCCCTGCTGGCCACCGGGGATAGTGCACAGGTGAAGACAACAGCACATGCTGGGGTGCATCCCAGAGAAGTCCTGTGACTCTTTGCTTGGAGGGAAATAGTGTCTGGTGGGATCACTGATAGCTAGGGGCTGCTGGGCTGTCAGCAGGACCACAGGGAGCAGGAGTCCCCGAGGGGAGGACAACATCCTCCAGCCCCTTCTCACAGCACAGCCCCTCACAATAGAGGCCTTGTGCAAGCTCCTCTGTGCATAAACACAGCTGTTCCAGCTGCCCACCTCGACCTGCAGCCTCCCATATTCCCCCAGACCTGCTGACAAAGGGATTGGGGAGGCAAAAGGCCAGTCACCCAGCCCAAGAAGAGGGCACTCTACCTGACAGGGGCCTAGCCCTTCTCCCCTTCTTCTAACCTTGCCTTGGAGGAGGAGGCTGGAAGGCCAGCTTACATGCAGCAGTTGCTGGTCAGAAGCCAGGCCCAGCTTGATAGAGTGGTAGGGGCTGGTGACATCCTGTAATCAGGGCATCTCCCTGATAATGCCCCAGGGGCAGGCAGGAGCACCATAGGGATGAGGGAAGGAAGAGGCTGTGAGGGCCCGGGCAAGGTGCAGCCAGCTCAGCCTCGGTGGGACTGATCAGTGCCTGGGGTGGGGCTAAGAGAAATGACTAAAATGCTCCGGCCCCAAGGGATGGGGAGAGGATGCCCAGGGTAGGGAGCTCAAGGCTCTCGTGCCCAGTGTACCACAGCACCCCCCTTAAGATAACTACAGAAGGGGTGAAAACTACCTACCTGGCCCTTCTCTATAGCGGGCTAGACTGGCCATAGACTCAGTCTGAATCTGAACACAGGCCAGGGCCATCTTGCAGAAACCACAGGGCAAGCCCTTGTTTCCTGCTGATTGAATTTCAGACAGCTGACCGAGTTCCGCAGTGTTCTTCCCTCTACTGACCTACCTGAAGGTGATCCAGGAAAAAGGGAATGACTTCCCAGGGCTGCCAGACCCCACCCTGACACCTGACACCAGGCAGTGCTTGCAAGGAGCCAGGTGGGGGAGCTGAGCAGCAGAGACCACTGTTGGGGAATCATCCAGTAAATCGATGAGCGGGAAACTGTTAATTTCCAGTCCAGCCAGTCAGCTCACAGGGCTCTTCTTCCCCTTGGCTGATGGTTCCTAGGCCAGACCAGTGTTAGACCAGTGGGGTCAGGTGCTGAAAGTACCTGAGGTCCTGATAGGACTCTGGCTCCCAGGAATTCTGAAAACCAAGCCACCCCACTTGTCCTGAAGCCCTTAGCCTGTGTCCTCAGGAAGGTAGCTGGAAGACCACGTGTTCACGAAGTTGCAGGTCAGAAGCCAGGTTCACTCTCGATGAGGGAACACCCGTTGCCCTTCTTCGTTTCCCCTGTCCTTTTCACCCCTCCTTTTCCCCATTACGTAGTTACACTTTGGACCCCTACTTCTGGGTAAAACAGCCCTGCTTCATCCCAAAACTGACTGCTATTTGGACCAGATGATTGAAGTTTAAGGGACAAATTATGTCCCATTTTCAAATTGAAGGTGGTATAATTACAAAGTTGGTGGGTAAGCACTTTGACCTATTTTCCTGAGACATGTCCCTATACAAATAAGATTCACTGGGTCCCCATTACACGTCACCGTGCTATGGGTAGGTAAAACCACCTCAATATTTGCCAAAATGGGACAGATGACGGTAAATAGAGGCACTATTAAATACACTTCTGGCCAGGCACAGTGGCTCACACCTGTAATCCTAGCACTTGGGGAGGTCGAGGTGGGAATATTGTTTGAACTCAAATTTGAGGCCAACCTGGGCAACACAGTGAGACCCTGTCTCTAAAAAAGAAATACAACACACCTGAGCCAACTGTCACTGACGTCACCTCAATCGGGACATTATTATTTTTTTTGCTTTTCTTACCCAGGCTGGAGTGCAATGGCACGATCTCGGCTCACCGCAACCTTCGCCTCATGGGTTCAGGCAATTCTCCTGCCTCAGCCTCCTGAGTAGCTGGGATTACAGGCACGCGCCACCATGCCCAACTAATTTTTTGTATTTTTAGTAGAGACGGGGTTTCACCATGTTGACCAGGATGGCCTTGATCTCTTGACCTCGTGATCCACCCGCCTCGGCCTCCCAAAGTGCTGGGATTACAGGCATGAGCCACCGCGCCCAGCGAATCGTTACATTATTGAATATGGTCGTCCCAGCCCCAGCTGAATCAGAAGTCTATGCTTTTTGCACATTTCCCCAAACTTTTGAAAAACATTATCATTCGAATGAAAACCATTAACCAAATGTGAAAAATTTTAACTTCAAAAACTTTTAGTCTCATCCATCAAGGACACAGGATACCTAAAACAGCTCCAACTTTTGCTTTTCGCTGCTCCCTTGCCCTTCCCATACAGGCAGCTTCCTACAACCAAAAGCTCTTTGCCTTCTGGGTTAAGTGCTCAAGCAAAGTGTAAAAATATGTAAATCATTACAGATTATAATCCAAGAGCCTTCTATGCCAGCCTGCAGGAGGTTTACTAGTGTCACCCACTTGGGTTGTCCCAGGTAGTACACAAGCTTATCACGGCAGCTAGGTTTCTGTACTTATTTCCAGACACTCCCAGATGCCCCAGTGCATAGAACATTCCAACGTCTGATCTTAAGCTCCTTCTGAAGCAGGGAGCACACTTTGAGGAATCGTTCGAGGTATCAACTCTCTAGAAAAGCTGTTCATTGTGTTGTATTTTTTTTGGAGAGGGAGTTTCGCTCTGATTACCCAGGCTGGAGTGCAACCTCCACCTCCTGGGTTCAGGCAATTCTCCTGCCTCAGCCTCCTGAGTATCTGGGATTACAGGCACGCGCCACCATGCCCAACTAATTTTTTGTATTTTTAGTAGAGACGGAGTTTCACCATGTTGATCAGGATGACCTCGATCTCTTCACCTCGTGATCCACCCACACCGGCCTCCCAAAGTGCTGGGATTACATGAGTGAGCCACCGTGTGTTGTACTCTTTATAGACCTTCATGATCAAGACCTGAAACCTACATTCTCTCAAATCTTACATTTAAAATTAACCCAAACTTCGGAGAAAATAATTTTAATGAGCAGAACTTTAAGCAGTTACTAGCTTCAACCACAAAATGCTTTGATGACCGCTGGCTCTCATGTGGTCTTGCTGACATTCACATACTATGTTTTACTAGAGACCATCATTGCACAAGAAAACTAGCTTCATATGAAAAAGTGGTTTAGACTAAGTTCTACACCTGTGGACTTCTTTACCACGATAACGGGTGAGTGAAAGATTAATATACTCAGCCCACGCTGCAAATACAGCATTACGGCATTTTAATGAAGCAGCTCTTCACATGCTTTCTACAACACTTTTGTAAATAAAAGGTTCCTTTGTCTACCAAGCTAAATCTGAAATTAAGCTCAAACATTAACATACAAGGACCTAGATAATGGGATGTGGGAAAGCTTAGTACATTCAATTTAGGTTTTTGACACTCAGTTGGATAAACAAGTTTATTTGTAAATTTAGTCAACATACATAATTGACCTAAAAAAACTTCAATAGAAGGATAAATTTTAAAATCACTTGAAGGCCATCTCTATAAAAGTGATATTTCTCAGGACAGTAACCAGATGTAACCTAACCCAACACCATCTTAACTGGCAGAGGTTCAGCGGGCTGGAGCTTTGTGCCCCTCCCCACATCAGGTTTTTATAATACAAATGCCGCAAACAAAAAAAAAAAAAAAAAAAAAAAAACGAAACTTCGGTATTGTTTCCTCTCAGCAGAGAAAAAAAACTCAAACCTAGTTAAAAGACCAACCACAACACAATGAAAAGCTGCACTAACTAGTTCAGAATATTAGTTAACAGATGCTGCTGGTGTGAATAACTCGTATTTTATTCTAGAGCCCTTATAAATAAAATCCCCCGTTAGTGTTTGCATTATCAGCTAGAGGGTTAGTTCACATGTGGTAGAATGAGGACTTATGCAAGGTACAAATGCGCATAGCATTTTACTATGAAAACAAGTGCAGTCAGAAGAAAACCAACTGGACTCTAAATTACACACACCTTAATGACAAGACTCCCCACCACTTGTGAATGTAAAACATTTAATTTAAAAATGTTGACACTACAATATATAAAATAGCTATTATAAATGCACATAGTGTATTCTATAGCTGCCAGGTTTACTTTTTTTTTTTTTTTAAAGGAAACTGTAAGTTACACTGTGGTTAAGACTTGTATCTTCACCCTTGAAAAAGCCCACATTCTATCACAGTGATGTATGGTCAGACTTAACAGCCCCAATTGTTAAAACACTTGGATCAAGTCATAACCAGTTTTATTGCAAAAGGACCCTGTACACATTTATCGATTCTAGTACCTTAATAGCTACCCAACAAGTCATTAACATACAGAGACATGCATCATGAGAAGCAAAAATATCACCCATCCCTTCTGCATATTAGCAACTTGTCACTCCTGAGCAACAGTGCTCACATCACTGAGGTCTGTGAACAGTCACTTTTCGCATTCATCCTGAGTGAAAGATGGAATGACTTAAGTACAAATGCAACATATTATAAACAATTTCTTACAAAAAAGGTCACAAATTAAACCAAAGTATTTTACAGAATTTACTACAAAACGCCATAAAAACTGCCTTCACTTAAGCTCTCTCCCCCCGTATCCGGCGAGCCAACTGGATGTCTTTGGGCATGATGGTGACTCTCTTAGCGTGGATGGCACACAGGTTAGTATCTTCGAACAGACCCACCAGGTACGCTTCACTGGCTTCCTGTTGACAAGAGCCACACTATTAATGCCCCTTAGAGAGCGGAGACTGCCCAGCCCTTCCCCGGCCCCAAGTCTTTGTCTTGTTACCTGCAGCGCACCGATGGCAGCGCTCTGAAACCTCAGGTCGGTTTTGAAATCCTGCGCGATCTCCCTCACCAACCTCTGGAAAGGCAGCTTCCGGATGAGCAATTCGGTCGACTTCTGGTAACGACGAATCTCTCGAAGCGCTACGGTCCCGGGCCTGCAGGGAACAGGGGACGGGTGAGCGGGCGCCGCCGCACAAAGCCGGCCGCCGCCGGGCCATTGTTTCCCCGCCCGGCCTACCTGTAACGATGAGGTTTCTTCACCCCGCCAGTAGAGGGGGCGCTTTTCCTGGCGGCTTTCGTGGCCAGCTGTTTGCGGGGGGCTTTCCCACCAGTGGATTTACGAGCAGTCTGCTTGGTTCGGGCCATTTTCTTTTAGCTAGGAAAGACACCCACAAATAAGGCGGCCGCGCTCTCCCGGGTCGCCCCCTAGGTCGTCCCCCGGGACTGCAAGGGGAAGCAACAGGCCCCGGCTTCTCCGCCTGGACTCCCGCCTCCTCGCTCTCCGGCTCGCGGCAGATGGCCGAGGGCCGTCACCTCCTCCCCCTCCCCTAATGACTCAGGCTGCGAGAAGCGGCAGCCTCCCTCGGGTAAGGGGGGGCGCGGGGAGGAGTCACCTCCCTCCCTCGACGGGCGGAGGCCGGACTGCCCGGAACCCAGCGTCGGGGCCTCTGAATCACCGCCGGTAAGAAGGCAGGGACGCGGTTCCGGAACCAAACCCCAAAGGGAAAACCTCCCGGCCCCATACCGGACCCAACGCCAGTGGCCCCAGCAGCCCCGCCGCTCGGTTCCCAACGGTCGCAGCCCGCGGCGCTAACGGCTGGCAGAACCTGAAATCGTGGGTAAACCCACAAACGCTTACCCAACGCCGAAATTTTAGGCCACTTCTCCGACCTCCGCGCCGCTTCCGTCACCTGAGGAAGAGCCGCAGTAGACAAGCGAAGAAACGACACTAACACAACGAACGACCTAACCGCTCTGCGCTCCAAGCCCCCTCGACGCCTCCGTTTTTATACCCACGCTTCACGCTGCGTCTCTGCGTCATAAAACCCTTATTTGCATACACCAACGACTTTTTCTATTGGTGGGCACTTTCGCCGACGCGCTGACATCCCCCGACACAAAGGCCGTGCTTCGGCTCTGTCCCTTGATTGGTGCATATCTAGGCCGCTGATTGGCTGTTAAAGTGGCCTAATGATTGGCTAGATGCAAAGAGGAATGGACGAATCACAGTTTAGCACTAAGCGGCTCTTCTGATTGGATAAAATGGAGCTATGTTTGGATCCTTCCCTTGGTTCCAAAGCTCTACAATAGAAAGTCAATGCAAATGAATTGCATTGGTCTCTATCAGGATGAGCAGGACTCTAAACTTACAGGCATCAAGCGAAAGTGCACGCGGAGAGGCTACTTTAACAAAATGTTTGTAAATATTTTCCGATGTAAAATAAAATGTGTTCCCTGGATTATTTACTTTTCATAATGTTTAATTCGTTAAGTATGTAGTGTGAGAATTAGAATCCAGTAAATCATGTTATATTATCAAGTATTTCATATATCATGCACATACATTTTTAACCAAAAGCAGATCCTTTGTTGGGTGGGAAGGGGTAAATAATAGATACAAATAAAAATGTTAATAAATTATTTTAGGGGAACTTTCGTAAGTTTTTAAGCTGTCACAAAATATTTTGTGATTTCAATATGCTTAAACAAGAAGTAACCTACTAAGCAACATGTTACTTGACTCATGTAATTCAACTGAATGAAATGACTACAGCCAGAAAGGAAATAGTCCTATCCACAAAGAAAAAAACGAAAGATAATTAAACTAAATATGTGCCCTTTTGTTTAATAGCATATCCTGACAGGTATTACTTCTGAAGAAACATGACAAATGTGTAAACATGCTAATCCCTACCTTTGCCTAAGTAAATGTCTTGGATGTTCCTCAGTTGTCTCAAGTATAGAAAATACCAAAGCAGGCTTAAGGTTAAGACCAGCCAAGCAAAGCCCAGAAAATTGAAATAGAGCCTTGGACATTGTACTCTATAGTTCTGATGCTTGGTTAAACAAATATACTATACTATTAAAAAACAAGGAGCAGAAACAGGTTTCAACTAAGAAATAAGTTTCAACTAAGATCATTTTTTTCTTTCTTTCTTTTTTTTTTTTTTTTTTTTTTTTTTTGAGGCAGAATTTTGCTCTTCTTGCCCACACTGGAATATAATGGTATGTTTTTGGCTCACCGAAACCTCCGCCTCCCAGGTTCAAGAAGCAATTCTCTTGCCTCAGCCTCCCAAGTAGTTGGGATTACAGGCATGTGCCACCACTCCTGACCTCAAGTTATCCGTCTGCCTCGGCCTCCAAAGTGCTGGGATTACAGGCCTGAGCCACCGAGACTGGCCAAGATAATTTTTTTTTGAAGCAGGATCTTACCCAGGCTAGAGTCCAGTGGTGTAGGGACCACAGCTCACTGCAGTCTTGACCTCCTAGACTCAAGCAATCCTTCTGCCTCAGCCTCCCAAAGTGATAGGATTACAGGCATGAGCCACCAAGCCTGGCAGTCAGATAATTACAGTACATAAGTACAAATATTAGTATGTCAATATTTACTTGCCACACCAAAGGTCAACTATCAAACAGTGAGAAAAAAAAATGGACAATTCGTAAAAGTAGCTCATCTTCATCTCAATCTCTGGTACTAAATTCTTGTCATTATTTCAGCCTTCTTAATCTTTTTTTTTTTTTTTGAGATGGAGTTTCACTGTTGTTACCCAGACTGGAGTGCAATGGCACAATCTCGGTTCACCACAACCTCCGCCTTCTGGGTTCAAGCAATTCACCTGCCCCAGCCTCCCAAGTAGCTGGGACTACAGGCGCACACCACCATGCCCAGCTAATTTTTTTTTTTTTTTTGAGATGGAGTTTCGCTCTTGTTACCCAGGCTGAAGTGCAATGGCGCGATCTCGGCTCACCACAACCTCCGCCTCCTGGGTTCAGGCAATTCTCCTGCCTCAGCCTCCTGAGTAGCTGGGATTACAGGCACGTGCCACTGTGCCCAGCGAATTTTTTGTATTTTTAGTAGAGACGGGATTTCACCATGTTGACCAGGATGGTCTCGATCTCTTGACCTCGTGATCCACCTGCCTCGGCCTCCCAAAGTGCTGGGATTATAGGCGTGAGCCACCGCACCCGGCCAGCCTCCTTAATCTTAACTTAATGCACATTATTTAATCATCATATACCTAAATTTACTGTTCTAACCAACTTTGATTTCTGCCCTTTATTCAAAATTTGACGTAGGGAAAATTACATAATTTTATTCATGCCATGCTGAGAAGAGAAACCTAGGGATTCTCATACTTTGTTCTCAGACCTGTGTTAAGAAATGCGACTGTTTAAACACAGATATGAGGCTGTCAAATTCTCTGGGATGCAACCAGAAAAATAACTTGTCATCTTTTTTTTTTTTTTTTTTTTTTTTTTGACTGCTCAAATGGCCTGGAGGAGGAATGGCCTTCTAAATTGTCCCGATTTGTGCTCCAGGATTTTTCTAGGTGATATACAGAATCTTGTCGTTTCCATGCCTCCCTATGGATGGACATTTTCCTTCCAGTTTTGCTAATTATTAGAAACTAAAGCCACCTGGAGAAAAAAGGTATGGATTTACATTTACCCATTTAAGGATGATTAGTGAAACAGGCTGTCTCTCTTACTTGGTAGTCACACAGGTATGTTTCACTTTCTCCAAACTGGTACAAGGGAAGAACAACAAGCAAGGCAGGAAATGAGGAAGAACCAAAAATGTATATACAATGAAAACACTAGAAAAAAAAACCCAATAGCAAATGTGATGTAACCTGTAGGCCACTGTCCTGGTTCCTCTTCTGTCAACAACTTGCTGAGTAATTTTTTACAAGTTTCTTAGCTTGTCTGGGTTTCGGTTTCCTCTTTTGTAAATTAAGCAGTTTGGATGATATCATCTCCCAGTTCTACCAGGACATACTTATTCTGAAGCTCATGGTATACATTTATTATTTAAAATCTAGTGCTGTGAACTTTCTTTCTTTTTTTTTAACTTCATTAAAAAATTTTTTTTAAAGACAGGGTTTCACCATATTGGTCAGGCTGGTCTCAAACTCCTGACCTCAGGTGATCTGCCCGCCTCAGCCTCCCAAAGGTCTGGGATTACAGGCATGAGCCACTGTGCCTGGATTTTTTTTTTTTTTTTTTTTTTTTTTTTTGAGACGGAGTCTCACTCTTGTCACCCAGGCTGGAGTGCAATGGGGCTTAGTCTTGGCTCATTGCAACCTGCCTCCTGGGTTCAAGTGATTCTCCTGCCTCAGCCTCCTGAGTAGCTGGACCTACAGGCACGTGCCACCACAACCGGCTAATTTTTGTATTTTTAGTAGAAATGGGGTTTCACTATGTTGGCCAGGCTGGTCTCGAATTCATGACCTTGTGATCTGCCTGCCTCGGACTCCCAAAGTGCTGGGATTACAGGTGTGAGCCACCGCGCCCGGCCAGCTCTTATTTTTCCAGTCAAATCACACTTAAGTATTTTGAGGCTAACATATAAACCAATTAACTTGCATTTAATCATAGGATTAAAGCAATATACTGTAACTTTCGTCCTTTTGTAATTTTTCATTTTCAAACGCCCCTAGTGGCTAAACAACTTAGCCTGTTTAGGAAATACCAGTTTCACAACTCTGTAATTTGGCTTCTGATGTGAGGGCACTTGGAGCTAAATAAGTATGTGTCACTCAAACATTAATCATTTTCCATTAGCCCCACCATCCTTCACCCCTAAGGTTATTTGGAATGTGTTTCTTTAATGAGATAATCATTTGCTAATGTAATCCCATCTAAGAAAACATAAATCAAAACAAGTGGATTTGAAATAGATTCGGTATGAAAAACAAAGTTAAATGACAACTGCTAAAGTGTCAGTGGAGAACATTCTAAAACTTACAGAAACAAATACCTAGGTGTGGGGCATCTGGCTTATTTTACAAAGTTAACAACTTTGCTTGACAGGTGGGAAGCAGAGAGGGGAAAGATAATGTCCCAAGCAAAAAGGCTGACGTCCGGGCCGGGCGCGGTGACTCAAGCCTGTAATCCCAGCACTTTGGGAGGCCGAGGCGGGTGGATCACGAGGTCAAGAGATCGAGACCATCCTGGTCAACACAGTGAAACCACATCTCTACTAAAAATACAAAAAATTAGCTGGGCATGGTGGCGCGTGCCTGTAATCCGGGCTACTCGGGAGGCTGAGGCAGGAGAATTGCCTGAACCCAGGAGGCGGAGATTGCGGTGAGCCGAGATCGCGCCATTGCACTCCAGCCTGGGTAACAAGAGCGAAACTCCGTCTCAAAAAAAAAGGCTGACGTCCAGAGAAGAAAACTAGAGCGGATAAACACGGGCACGCCCTACTCAAAGCTAGGCCTATTCCTCTGGACTCCGTGATGCTTCTCAACGCTCCTGCAACTTGTCAATGTACCTCAGAGGCTATTCTAAGCGGAGATTAAATTCGTCCTTGGCCCTTAATGTGCTGGAAACAAGTTGGTCAGGCCAGGTGTCGAGCTGAGAAAGCCGTGGATTCCAGTTGTCGAGGTTGATAAAGGTAAATGAAGCGCCTCGGTTCGGAGCGCGTGGTGTAGCTCCTCCTTAGCAAAGCGTTCTCAGTGCCTCTCAGGTTAGACCCGCCACAGGGATGAAGGGGTTGCTGGCGGACTGCCGCTGCCAGGAGCATAGGGCCCAGAACTAAGAATCGACAATGCAGATTCTTATGGCCTGCTTGGAGGCACTGTTCTGAGTTGGCATTAGGACCGACGCAAGCTGTACTAAGTATAAAGGCAAGGTAGTTATGACACTGTTGGCAGTGAAATTATACGCGGAATTCTTTCGCAGAAGTCGCTAGGGCCTCCCTAGCTCTGGGCCTCTTTTCATCCAGGAGCTCCAGTTTCAAGGAAAGGCATCCCTATGAAACTGAAAACGCTCTGGTAAGGAGAAACGCGACCGGACTGCAATTCCCAGAAGCCGTCGCAGGCCCTCAGCATCCGGGATATTGACAGCGAGGGTCCCTGGGTATCGTGGTCCCGCGCTTTGCCAGCAACCCTCTGCCGACGGTAAAATTCCAGCCGGACACAGAACCACAACTCCCAGCAACCCTTGCTGTCGTGTGGGGGGTCTTCACGTTCTCGTGGCGCGGCGCAGGCGCACTGGGTCCTCGGCGCGGACCGCGCAGACTGAATAATAAAAGGGGAGCGGCGAAGAGGCAGGAAGACAGGACCATGTCGAAGGGCCCCGGGCCCGGCGGCTCCGCAGCTTCCTCGGCGCCCCCGGCCGCTACCGCTCAGGTGCTGCAGGCACAGCCCGAGAAACCGCAGCACTACACGTACGTAGAGCCCCCCCCCCCGCCGCGCGCGCACGCCTGACGTCAGCGGCCAGCGTGAGTCACGCGCGCAGGGAGAGCGCGAGGCGGCCTCTTCCTCCCCCCCTTCCTCCTCCGGCCCGGCCCAGACCGGTTCCAACCTGCTAGGGCCGGTCCCAACTGCCTACAACTGCCACCAACCTCTGGTCGGGCTGTGGGGCGGGAAACTCGGTCCTGGCGGCCGAGTGGTGAAGGCGGGAGCTCGGGATGTAGAGTGCAGTCTCCCCAGGCCAGGTCTTCGAGGCCTAACTGTTCCTCTGACCATAAAACCACAGTAGTAGGCTCCTTTGGGGCAGTGAGAAGTCCAAGACACAACCGAGACGAGTTCCATGGGCCCCAGCCCCAGAACCCACCTATGAATGATGATTAGCGTGAAGTCCTGTCAGGAGATTCCATGCAGTTTGCACAGGATGCCTTTTGTGTCCCCAAGGCTCGTAGGTTGTCCACGAGGGCCACCCTTGCTTGAATTCACTCTCGACGTAGATAAACATGCAAAGATGAAAACGTGTCAGTGCGTGCCCATGACCGTTTCCCTCGCGGGCTGTGCGGAGCCTGAGTCTGGGAGCCCGACGGTGATGGGTTCCGAGTATGTCTGCAGGCTCAGCAGAAATGTGGCATTAGAGGGATGCCCAAATACTGACACTACAAGAGTCCAGCAGGATGGGAAAACCTCTTCCTGGAAGTCTGCATCTGTGTGTGTGCTTTTTAGGTCGCTGTCTTCGTTTCCTTCAAGCCACCTTAAGCATTCCCTACAGTTAGGTGATGGTGAAGACAGATGAATAAGGGGCAGTTTCTCCTGTTAAGCAAAATGTTGCTTTCCATTTTCCCTGCTGCTCTGTGAATGCCTTTCATCCCCATGTGCTCCTGAATGATGTGCATGTTTAAAAGGATCCCCACCTGCGAGAGGTTTTGGAACCTGGGGGATTGAACAGCAGCTCTTAAGTTCAGTGAACGAAGAGCATAATCATCTGTTGGAGTGGAAAGAACTCAAAGTAGGAGGAACTCTGGCTTGTTATAGAAGTAAGACCTTGGGAAACTTCAGCGATTGGGGAACATTGGCTATAGGAAGTGCATGGTTTCTTTGTGGGATTCTCTGTTGGCTGAAATAATTTAAGCTTCTTGAGTACAGTCTGACACGTTAACTATTCCTTCTATGATATGGACATTGCTTTCCTTGTCCTTTCTTACTGGAGATCTTTGGCAATCTTTCCATTGGTTTTGGTGAGATGTTTGTAGCTCAGAGACTACGGATCAGTTGAATGGTGTAGTCTTGATTTTCGAATCTGGAAACTTCACATAATTGGACCTTCTTTATAATCTCTGGTTGCTTAGATAACTGTTTTTAGTAAAATAAACACATTTTGAGTCAAGACAGTCTTGGTTTCAGCAACCTGTGTTTCTGTGTTGTGCTGTCATTGAGCATAGTATGGAATCTGTATTAGAAAGGCCTTCTTATTCTGAACTGGCAGGTGAAACAAGTGAACAGCTGAGTAAATGTCAGTATCTGAGTCTTTGTCCTCTTGATGCTCAGTTCTTTAAAACCTGCCTTTCCATTCCTTGTGGGTAAGTACAGAGTAGTGGGACTTGGCTCTTGAGGTGTCTTAGAAAATCAACAGGAGTAGGTGAAATACCCAAGCTTGATGGCAGGTTGTAGATGTTCTTATCTCTTTGTCTGTTCATATGTATGTGTTTGTGTGTGTGTGTGTGTGTGTATTATTTTTTTGAGACGGAGTCTCTGTTGCCCAGGCTGGAGTGCAGTGGTGTGATCTTGGCTCACTGCAACTTCTGCCTCCCGGGTTCAAGCAATTCTCCTGCCTCAGCCTCCTGAGTAGCTGGGATTACAGGCATGTGCCACCACACCTAGCTAATTTTTGTATTTTTAGTAGAAATGGGGTTTCACCATGTTGGTCAGGCTGGTCTCGAACTCCTGACTTCTTGATCCACCCGCCTTGGCCTCCCAAAGTGCTGGGATTACAGGTGTGAGCCACCACACCTGGCTGTGTTTTTCTATTTTTATCTCCAAAAATCAGAGGTAGAAATCAGTTGTCTTTCTTGTTAGACTAGGCATTCAGAAGCTGTGATGACTTGGAAAACTTCATCCCCTACTCATCCTAGGGCTGAGTTGCAAGGAGCATGAGGACACATATGATGGAACTAGCACATTTGGTGGCCCTAATATATATATTTTTTAAGATAAGGTCTCCATCATCCACGCTTGAGTGCAATGTCATGATCTCAGCTCACTGCAACCTTGACCTCCCTCGGTTAAATGATCCTCCCACCTCAGCCTCCTCAGTAGCAGGGACTACAGGTGCACCCGGATACGTATTTTCTGTAGAGATGGGGTTTTGCCATGTTGCCCAGGCTGCTATTGAACTCCTCTGATCAAGCAGGAGTAAGCAATCTGCTGATGGGCCTTGGCCTCCCAAAGTGCTAGGAGGCCACCATACCCAGGGATTTTTTTTTCTGTCTTAAAAGAGTCATGGGCAGGACATGGTTACTCACGCCTCTAATCCCAGCACTTTGAGCAGCCGAGGCGGGTGGATCACTTTAGGTCAGGAGTTTGAGACCAACCTGGCCAACATGGAAACCCTGTCCTCTACTAAAAATGCAAAAAATTACGCAGGCCAGGTGGCATATGCCTGTAGTCCCAGCTACTAGGGAGGCTGAGGCAAGAGAATCGCTTGCACCCAGGAGGCGGAGGTTGCAGTGAGCCAAGATTATGCCACTGCACTTCAGACAGAATGAGACTCTGTCCAAAAAAAAAAAAGAGATGTGATCTCACTGTTACCCAGGCTGGACTTAAACTCCTGGGCTTAAGCAGTCCTGCCTTAGCCTTCTGAGTAGCTGGGACTACTGGCACATGCCACCATACCTGCATTTTCCCCCCCTCCCATAAGGTGAATTTATTTATTGCTCTTCGGAGTTAGGCGACAGGAACATTTTGATTTTAGGAAATTTGCTATAAAAATTTGAGCTGCTTGGGAGCTAAGCAGTGGGTACACATGGGCATACAGAGTGGAATAATAATTGATAACTGCAGCCTTCTCCTGGGTTCAAGCAATTCTCCTGCCTCAGCTTCCCAAGTAGCTGGGACTACAGGCACGCGCCACCATGGCAGGCTAGTTTTTATATTTTTAGTAGAGACGGGGTTTCACTATGTTGGCCAGGCTGGTCTCCAACTCCTGACATCGTGATCTGCCCTCCTTGGCTTCCTAAAGTGTTGGGATTACAGGCATGAGCCACCATGCCCGGACACCTATCAAATTTTTTACCTTTTTAATTTTTTTTTTTTTTTTGAGATACGATCTCCTCTGTCACCCATGCTTGTGTGTAGTGGTGTGACCTCAGGTGTGAGCCACCTCACCTGGCCTTTATTATACATTAATTTGTATGTTTTTATGCCTGATGTTATTTGAAATTAACGTAACATGCTGTAGTCTTTGCAATAATCCAGAGACACTTGTGTGGTAATTGAGTCTCACTTACCATCATGGCAGTCTTGGCAAACACAGCTGAATACACCAAAAGCAAAAATTGCCTTCCCATTGGTTTCCCTTTCTTGCCTTTTATTCTTGTGCTGAAATTAAAGTTCTTAGAATTTGAGCCCTCCTTTTCCTAAACCGAGAGGATTATTTATAACATAGTTGGAAGGATAATTTTGTTGGTATTTTTTCTTTCTAAACTCTCAAATAATCTTGCTTTAAGGGAAACTTTGGAATAATCCTTTCATCAAATTGGTGTAGCAGGCACTTGTGTTGGGCTTGAGGAATCCAACCCTTTTAGAAAATAGTATGTCAAAAGTTCCTCTATTGTACAGCTCCAAGTATTTGCTTAGTGGTCAGTAAAACAATAATGTATATGTATTTATATTCTTCCAATACAAGAACCATGTGGCTTCCTTTTACTAGACAGTTTGTCTTTGCATTTGACAAAGAATGAATTTAATCCAGCTTTATTTGCAATAATATACTATCTTATATATTAGAAGAGTTTTATAAAAACATTTAAGAATGAGAAGTTTTGTAGCAATCACATCTCAAAATGTATCTATAAATTTAGCTTCCTTTTGGCTTTTTGCTGTATAACAGTTATACTATTGAAAATGTATGGTTGAGCCGAGTGTAGTAGCTCATGCCTATAATCCCTGCACTTTGGGAGGCCGAGGCAGGTGGATCACGAGGTCGAGATCGAGACCATTCTGGCCAACATGGTGAAACCCCGTCTCTACTAAAAATACAAAACAATTAGCTGGGCGTGGTGGCACGCGCCTGTGGTCCCAGCTACTCAGGAGGCTGAGGCGGAAGAATCGCTTGAACCTAGGAGGCGGAGGTTGCAGTGAGCCGAGATTGCGCCACTGCACTCCAGCCTGGTGACAGAGCAAGACTCTGTCCCCCCCCCAAAAAATAATAAAAATAAATAAAAAGAAAGTGTATAGTTGAAAGGTTACAGAAAAACTACCATCTGAAATATCCGGCTGGGTGTACTATAATCCAGCTGGCTCATGACTATAATTCCAACTCTTTGGGAGGCTGAGGCAGGAGGATAATGTGAGCCCAGGAGTTTGAGACCAGCCTGGGCAACATGCAAGACCGCCTCTCTACTAAAAACTGAAAAAATGAGCCAAGTATAGTGGTGTGTGCCTGTGGTCCTGGATACTCAGGAGGCTGAGGTAGGAGGATCCCTGAGCCCAGGAGATTGAGGCTGCAGTGAACCAAGATTGTGCTACTACTGCACTCCAGCCTGGGTGACAGAGCAAGACACTGTCTCAAAAATAAATAAATAATTGGCTGGGCACAGTGGCTCACACCTGTAATAACAACACTTTGGGAGGCTGAGGTCGGCAGAACACTTGAGATCAGGAATTCAGGACTAGCCTGGCCATGGTGGCAAGACCCCATCTCTACTAAAAATACAAAAATTAGCTGGGTGTGGTGGCACATGCCTGTAATCCCAGCTGCTCAGGGGCTGAGACAGGAGAATCACTTGAACCCAGGAGGTGGAGGTTGCAGGAGATCATACTGCTGCACTCCAGCCTGGATGACAGAGCGAGACTCTGGCTTGAAATAATAAAAATAAATAAATATTAAACTATCTGAGTTTCTGACCTCATTGTTTTGACCCCCCTAAGAGGAAGTATACCTCACAGACGAATCATGTTTTCATTCATTCTACTGTGATCACTGCAGCCAGTTCTCAGACTTCTTAATGCCCTCGTGTTAAAGGAAAATGAAATTCTAGTTTAGTGAAGGTTTGTAGGAGTTTTTCGGCCACTTGGTGATTTCTTATAGGTAGATAGAGAATAAATACTTTATAGCCTCATCTATCTAGGCATCATTTAAATTTAGGACTGGTTTCCTGGGCATCTAATTAAACAAAGATAATGTAATACTTTCATAGATAACTATTTTCAGGCAGCTTCGTCAGTTTATGTATTATATAAATGTCAGTCATTTCACTTGATTGCATCAGATTGTATTTTGGAAAACCCTGGAGATGAACATGTATTTAAGTCATTATTGCGAATTGTAATGAAATTGTACATGCATTAGTGGGGTACTACTTGTTTCACAACAGAAGTCATTGGAAGTGTTACCAAGCAACCTCAGCGAGAACAAGTTAAATCACCAATAAACATTTCTGGATCTTATTTATTTGTTTGTCAAGTAGAACTAATTTCTTGCAGGACAGAAATTAGGAGCTCATTGTAGCCTTTACTTAATCCCACAAAATCCCCGTTAACAAGTGTTAAGTGCCCTTGCTAAGGGTAGATTCTTAAGCTTAACACCTAGTTGATATTTGCTATTATCTAAATTATTAATTAAAGTCAAGATTTGCTTAATGGTTAAGTTTTTTTGTTTTAATCCAGCTATGTTAGATACTAAAGAAGGCTTCCCCACAACCCATATGCATCTGCTTTGACTGGTGGTTTCTGTCATCCTACAAAGACTGTGACTTATTGGTGAGGGCAGCTGAACAACTCTGAGAGCAACTTAGAGAAATCCATCTTGGGCACACTCTATAAAGGAGCTCCTTCTCTGCAAATAGCACCCCAGATAAGTCCACAAAATCAAGATACCCTCGTGGACCTACACGTCCTCCCGCTTTTCAACACCCTGATGCCTGAAGGTGAGGTCTTTTTCCTGTGTGTCTTAGAAGCCATGAGCACGCGTAGGTCACTAGATTCCCCCAGCCACCTGAGCAGCACACATCTGCAGGCTTTCCTGCCAGACCTTTGCCTAAAGGTCAACTTTCTCATGAGGAGAGACTCCAGGCCGAGAATGATGACAGTAAGGTTGCATTTAAAGCTGCATTACATTCAATAGTGGACTGGTCTAGTGATTATTTTCCCAAACTGGGAAATATTTGCTTAATGATTAAGTTTTTGGTTTTTGTTTTTGTTTTTAGTCCAGCTATGGTTGATACTAAAGGAGGTTTTCCCACTATCCATATGCATCTTTTGTGTTTTGGAATTGCAACTATGGACAGTTATGGCTAATCCTAGTAGATTGTCTTCCCCTCTTTTAACATCTTGGATGAATTTGGGGCACACTAATTGTTATATAAAGAGATGTTGAATGTAAGTTTCTCTGCCATTCTTAGCCAATATATAAAAATTATATTAGCTTAATTGCTAACAATGCCTAGAATTTAGGTTTAGTATCCCTCTGGACAATGTAGCTTCTTGTTTTCTTCTTTTTTTGTTGTTTTTTCTTCTCTTTTTGTTTTATTTATTTTTTCTTTGCTTCTTGTTTTCTTACCATATAGATACTCTATAGATTCACCCTAGCCAATCTTAAAATACCTGCGTAGGCAATGGAGATACCTGTGGAGAAAGTGCACGGGATAATAGGTACAGGGTTATTTTGGGGGTGATGGAAATTTTCTGGAATTAGATACAGTGAAGGTTACGTAACACGGGTGAATACACTAAAAACCACTGAAATGTACACTTAAAAGTGGTGAGTTTGTAGGCTGTCTGAATTATATCTCAAATTTTAAAAAAGTTAATAAAAAAAACAGTGCATCTGAGTCCCTCTGCCATAGAGAGGGCTTCAAGCGCATGGCCTGTTGCCAAGGCTCAGCAGCCACGGTTCAGTGTGGGAAAACCTGTGGTTTGCACAAAGCTCCTTGGTGCCCTTTTCCCAGCTTTCTCAGTGGCTTAGTTCTTGCGTATCTATTCTAGTTGAATGCCCCATGTTATAAGTCTGCAGAGTGCTTTCTGAGATAAGAAATATGTCTTTAAAAAACAAGTTTGAGACTCCTAGGTGTTGGTAATTATACTTTATCTTGTCTCCAACTTGATAGCCATTCCAGGGAACAAGCAGATTTTTACCAATGCTTTCATAAAATGAATCATGTTTACTTACTGGGGCGGGTGGGAGGTGGAAGAGAAGGTTGCTGTCTTGCTGAAATGTAATCCAGTCCATTCTTCAGGTATTGTGATTGTTTTAAGGTTCGCATGGGCTTTTCTTTAAGGACGGGCCATGTGTTTTAGGCATTTAAAATTATATCAATGGCTATACTATATTAGTTCAAGTAATCACAATAAACTTTTTACTGTTTCTCTATAAAATCACTCAACTTTCACCCCTTTTTTCTTTGCCAGTGTGTAGAATTTGACAGCAGTATCGAGCTGAGGAGGACAAGATGGAAAGGAGTCTATCAATTTAAAAATCTCACAGCGTTCTCTGTGAGGTGACCTTTTTTCCTGTTGGTGGCTCAATTTATTTAGGACATAAAGAAGATACTTAGCAAAATCATGTTCAAGAAAGTGTTATATTGGCAAAGCAATCCAATAAAATAAGCTACCTAAGATGCAAAAAAAAAGAAGATACTGAGGCCTGTGACAGCCTGTGACAGTATCATCAAGTAGTATCTGAACTTACTGAACTGGTTCCTCCCCTTCCTTATTCTTTATTCATAGTTTGCTTTTCATGTGCATAAGTTGACTCACTTGTTTTCTTTTAGCATTTGAAACACCATATAGCCACCATAAGTCCTGACAAAATGACTTCTAATGATGGGGAAGGCCCATGTCCCATGGTCCTGTGAAACTTTGGCCTATTTGCAAATCTACCCCCACATAAGAGAAGTAGTTGTGTTCTGTAAAGAAAATGTTGACAAAAGCCTTTAGCATGTTTTGTGACTAAAAAAACCTTTACGTGTTTTGTGACTTAGAAATTTTAAAAGTCATTCTTTACATTTTTTTTTTTTTTGAGATGGAGTTTCGCTCTTGTTACCCAGGCTGGAGTGCAATGGCGTGATCTCGGCTCACTGCAATCTCCGCCTCCTGGGTTCAGGCAATTCTCCTGCCTCAGCCTCCTGAGTAGCTGGGATTACAGGCACGTGCCACTGTGCCCAGCTAATTTTTTGTATTTTTAGTAGAGGCGGGGTTTCACCATGTTGACCAGGATGGTCTCGATCTCTTGACCTCGTGATCCACCCGCCTCGGCCTCCCAAAGTGCTGGGATTACAGGCTTGAGCCACCGCGCCCGGCCAAAGTCGTTCTTATATCTAAGGATTTATTAATTTTGTTAAGAACCTTACTGTATCTTTTTGATGTCACTTTTACTGTAAAGAAGTGCCAAGCATTTGGCGGTCTGCCACTTTAGGATTTGTGTGAATCCGACCATCTAAATATAATATAAATTAGAGACTAATACTTGTATTTTCTGATTAAAATCAAACTAACCTCTGTTTCACTATTGAAGTAAGAGTACTTTAGAATGAATACAAAAAATATATATTAAATATCCAGTAGAGCATGCTAAAGTGAACATTTCTGTTTTTATTTCAGTAACTTACTTTATGGTATTGTAGTTACGGCCTGTCTGAAACTCTCCAACATATTCTAAACAGCTTTCAGAGAGTCACTGAGGTTTATTTCCTGCTACTCTTGTATTTTCCTTTAACTCAGTTAAGAAATGCTTAGTTAACAGTCAACATGGTGGTTAAAAGTACTGACTCCAGGGTCATACCACCTTCATTTGAGGCCCAGCTCTGTCAGTTACTAGTTGTAGGATCTTGGGCAGTGACTTACCTCTTTGTGTATCAGTTTCCTGAGAGTAGGAAGACTACCTGTCTCGTGGGGTTGTTAAGAGGATGAAATAAATGAGTTAATTTATGTAAAGTGCTTAAAGTAGTGCTTGGCGCGTAGGATAGTGTAGATACTGTTCTCAGCCATTATTTGAACAGGGCCCTAGTCACTGCTTTCAGTTGCATTGCTCCTTGCTTTAACAGCCCTGACCAAATGCCTTCTTTAGCTGCATCCACACTGAAATAGAGTCTTCAGTTTCTAGGGCACGCATGGGGCAGCAGCATGGGGCACCCACTCAGTTTAGGTCCAAATACTTTGTTGTACAGAAAACAGTGTACAAAGAACATGTTAGTTTAAACATATTACTAAAGTGTCATAGAACTGGAGGTTTTCCAGGCTAGCTGCTTACAGAAAAACTATGGTTTTTTTGTTTTGTTTTTGAGACAGGGTCCCGCTGTGTTGCCTAGGCTGGAGTGCAGTGGTGCGATCTTGGCTCACCGCAACCTCCGCCTCTTGGGTTCAAGTGATTCTAGTGCCTCAGCTTCCCAAGTAGCTGAGGTTACAGGCACATGCCACCATGCCCAGCTAATTTTTGTGTTTTTAGTAGAGATGGGGTTTCACCATGTTGGCCAGGCTGGTCTCAAACTTCTGATCTCAAGTAATCTGCCCATCTTGGCCTTCCAAAGTGCTGGGATTACAGGCATGAACCACCATGCCTGGCCAGAAAAACTTTGAATAAAGTCAAGGTATTCTCTGATTTGGGGAAGAATGAATGGGAGTTTTTAATAGTCTCGAATATTCTCTGACACAAGTGATGCGAGTGACCCTTACATGAACCTTCCTGTTTCACCAGCTCTAGGCCCCATAGGGTAAGGGGACAATTATAGAAAGAAGGGACTTAGGGACACACAGGACCAGTTGCATACCCTTTCTGGCTCTTGTTAGTTTTTGGGGCCAGGGCAGCTCACAGGTGTCAGAATGTTCCAGTGAGCCCCACTGAAAAGTGGGCTGAAATAATTGGCCAGTGATTGGCTCCCCCACCATAAACACTGACTTGCTTGAGTGCCCATAGCACTTGAACTGTGGGTTGTTGTCTGTGTGCGTGTGTGCATAGATGTGGTAGGGAGTTTCATTGCATCTAGGAGCTTCATATCGGCCGTAAAATCATACTGTATTTACTCTGACTAAAGGCCAGTGCGGGATCAAAGACTACCTAAAAGGTTCAGAAACACTTAGAAATTCGCTAGACACTTATTTTATTTGCCTGAATAATACTCCCTGAGCTTGCTTTTTCTGCCAGAGAGAATGTTCTAAATCAGGATCCCTTTAGAAGATTTGGAAGTCACATCTCTATAACTGAGTAGTGTGTCAGATCCATCCAAATATTTACCTACCACCAATTATAGCTTTATTTGGCCTTATTTTTATTTTTTTATTTTTATAAGACGGGGTTTCACCATGTTGGTCAGGCTGGTCTTGAACTCCCGACCTCAGGTGATCCGCCCTCCTTGGCCTCCCAGAGTGCTGGGATTACAGGCGTGAGCCACAGCGCCTGGCCGGCCTTATTTTTTTAAAGCTTTTTTTTTTTTTCTCTTTTTTTGGAGATACGGTCTGGCTCTGTCACCCAGGCCGGAATGCAGTAACGTAATCAAAGCTCACTGCAGCCTTGAACTCCTGGGCTCAAATGATCCTCTCACTTTAGCCTCCTAAGTAGCTGGGACTGCATGCATGTACCACCACACCTGACTAGTTTTTTATTTTTAAAGTTGTTTTGTGAAGTTGGGTCTTACTGTGTTGCCAGGCTGATCTCGAACTTCTGGCCTCAAGCAGTCCTCCTGCCTCTGCTTCCCAAAGTGCTGGGACTGAGACACCACACCCAGCCTAAACTAAAAGCCATTTTTAGTAACTCCCACCAATGTGGTTACTGTTACAAAGTTGTATGGTTTCTGGGTCATGTTTGGTGTCAGAATATGTATGTATATCCTTATAAATATCAAATGTAGAACTGATAGTAGTTTACCCATCAGATTTTCAAAAATAAGGGAAGATTTTTAGCAGTTTGTAAGAAATATAGGCGTACTCATATATACATATAAATAATTTAGAATTCTAATCTATAGCACATATGCTCTTACAGTATTCTCTTTGAAGGTAAAACATTTTATTCTCAAAGAATAAGTTTAAGTTGTTAAGCCATGAATTATGACCACAGTGACTATGTTTCTTTGTAGGAGTTATGTGTTGGGGAAGGAAAGAAGTAGCTAGCAGGGTTAACATGGAAAACAGGAGATTACAGAGAAGCGTCATCTGAGCCTTTAGTCACTACGAATAATTGTCAACAGTGACTGGGGTTTTTTTGGTGCTAGTTGCAGAATCCTATCTTATTGTGGTTAGATTTCAATAAAGAATGTTTAAGATCAGGACTATGTCTGGCTTTTTAAGATTCCATATTCATGTTAAAGCTTGTGTATATTTGTTTTTTGTTTTTGTTTTTGAGATGGAGTTTCACTCTGTCTCCCAGGCTGGAGTGCAGTGGTGCGATCTTGGCTCACTGCAACCTCTGCTTCCCAGGCTCAAGCAGTTCTCTGCCTCTGCCTCCCGAGTAGCTGGGACTACAGGCATGTGCCACCACACCCAGGTAATTTTTGTATTTTTTGTAGAGACAGGATTTCGCCGTGTTGGCCAGACTGGTCTCGAACTCCTGACCTTAGGTGATCCACCTGCCCCAGCCTCTCAGAGTGCTGGATTACAGGCGTTAGCCACTGCACGTGGCTGAATCCTTCCTTTAATTTTTGATCAGGGTTGGGTGTGTTGGCTCATGCCTGTAATCCCAGCACTTTGGGAGGCTGAAGCCGACGGATCACTTAAGGTCAGGAGTTTGAGACCAGCCTGGCTAACATGGTGAAATGCTGTCTCTACTAAAAATACAAAAATTAGCTGGGCATGGTGGTGCACACCTATAATCTTAGCTATTTGGGAGGCTGAGGCATGAGATTTGCTCGAACCTGGAGGGTGGTGGTTGCAGTGAGCTGAGATTGCACCACTGTACTTTAGCCTGGGTAACAGAGACTGTCTCAAAAAAAAAAAAAAAAAAAAAGGATCAGGATATATTCCCTGTCGAGTTGTCATTAACATTTTGTTTTTTGAGATGGAGTCTTGCTCTGTCGCCCAGGCTGGAGCAACCTCTGCCTCCTATGTTCAAGCTATTCTCTTGCCTCAGTCTTCCCAGTAGCTGGGATTACAGTCATGTGCCATCACACCCTGCTAATTTTTTTTTTTTTAGACAGAGTTTTCTCTTGTTGCCTAGGCTGGAGTGCAATGGCACAATCTCAGCTCACCACAACCTCTGCTTCCCAGGTTCAAGTGATTCTCCCACCTCAGCCTCCTGAGTAGCTGGCATTACAGACATGCGCCACCACATCTGGCTAATTTTTTGTATTTTTAGTAGAGATGGGTTTTCACTATGTTGGTCTCAATCTCCTGACCTCAGATGATCTGCCCACCTCAGCCTCCCAGAGTGCTGGGATTACAGGCATGAGCCACTGCACCTGGCCTAATTTTCATCTTTTTAATAGAGATAGGGTTTTGTGGTCTCCAACTCTTGACCTCAGGTGATCTGCCTACCTCAGCCTTCAAAAAGGCTGGGGTTATAGGCACGCACCACCACATTACACCTCATTTAATTTTTGTATTTTTAGTAGAGACAGGATTTTGCCATGTTGATTAGGCTGATTTCAAACTCCTGGTCTCAGTTGATCCACTTGCCTCGGCCTCCGAAAGTGCTGGGATTACAGGCATGAGCCACCACGCCTGGTTGGTACCCAGCTTCTGCCAGTAGTCATCATGATACCCATTGGTTGTTGGAGGAAATAGAAACAGCAATTAATCTGTAGTGACTGTGCACGGTGGCTCATGCCTGTAATCCCAGCAGTTTGGGAGGCTAAAGTGGGTGGATTGCTTGAGGTAAGGAGTTTGAGACTAGCCTGGGCAACATGGCGAAACCTCATGTTAGCTGGGTGGGGTGGCAGGTGCCTGTAGTCCCAGCTACTTGGGAGGCTGAGGTAGGAGGATTACTTGAGCCTAGGAGGCTGCAGTGACCTGTAATTGTACCACAGGACTCCAGCCTGGGTGATAGAATGAGACCCTTTTTCAAAAAAAACCTGTAATGGTCTCTGCACATTCCTAGCACCAATGACAAAAGAGGAGCCACATGCCAGCAATCCCCTTGGTTGCTTTTCTATTCTGTGTGTGAGACAGAAGATCTCAATTTTAGTGTACAGGTGAGGAACAAAGCTGAGCAGACATGGTATGGAAGAGAGAGCTTACTGATTTAATTGCCAGGAGAAGTGTCTAAGTCAGAGGTTGGAGTTGCTTCTCTGTGTTTTACTCGGTTTGTGCAGAGCTGCTTTGTACCAGGCTTGTACCACTTGGGATGCTCTTTGCTTTTCCTTTCACTTTCACACATCTTGAGCACCTGCTGTGGGTCAGCTCTGTGCAGGGGTACAAAGATGATAGATGCAGCAGAGTATAAAACAGTCAGAATCCACTGAGGTAGCTGCACCAGGTATATTCACATAATACAGTAGGAACATGGAAGAGGGGGCAGGCAGGGCCAGGTAACCCTCAGGGTGATCTAGACCCAGGGAACAACATGATCCAAAGTATGAAGATGTAAGGGTGTGACGTGATGGGGCATACCAACTGTTGAGAGCTGAGGTCACTTGTAATTCCAGCGCTTAGCAGAGGCCAGAGAATGGCTTGAGCCCAGGAGTTGCATGCTCAGGCAAAATAGGGAGACCCCTTTCTTCACAAAAACGGAAAAAAAGACAACCCAAGTGTAGAGCAGAGGTCAGCAAACTGGCTTGCATGCCAAATCCAGCCTGCTTCCTGCTTTTATAGGGCCCACAAGCTAAGAATTGTTTTTACTTCCTTTCAAGACAGGTCTCGGTCTATCCTGGCTGGAGCGCAGTGGCACGATCTTGGTTCACTACAGTCTTGATCTCCCAGGCTCAAAGAATCCTCCTGCCTCAGCCTCCTGAGTAGCTGGGACTATAAGTGTGCCCTACAACATCCAGATAATATTTGTACTTTTTTGTAGAGAGAGGGTTTCGCCATGTTGCCCAGGCTGGTCTCGAACTCCTGAGCTGAAGCAATCCACCTGTTTTGGCCTCCCACAGTGCTGGGATTACAGGCATGACCCACTGTGCCTGTCCTTCACATTTTTTAATGGTTGAAAAAAAATGATATTTCATTATGTGATGATTATATGAATTTGAAAGAGTCCCTAAATAAATCTTCCACTGAACCTGCGCTTATTTGGCTGCTTGTGCTCTTCAGCTACAGTCGAATAGTTGCAACAGGAGACTGATATATGTGATGCTCATTGCTTTATATTGCTACATATATCAGCATACCACACTTTATATATTCTTCATTACCAGTACATACTTCTTACATCAGAAGAAAAGAGGAAGAGAAAAATTCACTTCAAACATTACACTTTTTATTTTACTCTTTTATTTTAAGAGATGGGGTCAAAAAAAAAGGGGGGGGATGGGGTCTCGCTGTGTTGCCCAGGCTGGAGTGCAGTGGCTGTTCACAGGCATGATACCATTACTGATCAGCATGGGAGTTTTGACCTGCTCCGTTTCCGACCTAGGCTGGTTCACCCCTCCTTAGGCAACCTGTTGGTCCCCCGATCCTGGGAGGTCACCATATTGATCCCAAACTTAGTGTGGACACTCAATTGGCATAACGCACTACAGCCCAGAACTCCTGGGCTCAAGTGATCCTCCCACCTCAGCCTCCCGAGTAGCTGGGACTATAGGCACATGCCACTGCGCCTGGCCAAACATTACACTTTTAAGGCTCAGTGGCACACGGATGATTTTGTTAACACATTTGGTGGCAAAGCATCTGATAAAGATAGCTGTGACTGGGCATGGTGGCTTATGCTTGTCATCCCAGCATATTGGAAAGCTGAGGCAGGAGGAAACCTTGAGCCCAGGAGTTGAGGTTGCAATGAGCAACACTACTCTGCCTCCAGCCTGGGTGACAGCGATACGCTGTCTCTCTCTTTTTTTTTTTTGAGACGGAGTTTCGCTCTTGTTAACCAGACTGGAGTGTAATGGCACGATCTTGGCTCACCGCAACCTCTGCCTTGTGGGTTCAAGCAATTCTCCTGCCTCAGCTTCCCGAGTAGCTGGGACTACAGGCACGTACCACCATGCCCAGATAATTTTTGTATTTTTAGTAGAGACAGGGTTTCACTTTGTTGACCAGGATGGTCTTGATCTCTTGACCTCGTGAGCCACCGCGCCTGGCTCTTTTTTTTTAAAGACAGGGTTTAGGCTGGGCATGGTGGCTCACGCCTGTTATCCAAGCACTTTGGAGGCCAAGGCGGGTGGATCACCTGAGGTCGGGAATTCAAGACCAGCCTGACTAACATGGTGAAACCCCGTCTTTAAAAAAAAAAAAAAAAAAATGGGGCTTCACCATGATGGCCAGACTGGTCTCCCACCTCAGCCTCCCAAAGTGCTAGGATTACAGGCGTGAGCCACCGTGCCCGGCCGACCCTGTCTCTTTATTTAAAAAAGAAAAAAGGAAATACTCCTTTAAAAATGTATTTTTCTTTTTTTTTTTTTCCCAAGACAGAGTCTTGCTCTGCTGCCCAGGCTGGAGTACAGTGGTGTGATCTCATCTCATTGCAACCTCAGCTTCCCGTGTTCAGATGATTCTCATGCCTCAGCCACTCAAGTAGTTTGGATAGGTATGAGCCACCGTGCCTGGATTATTTTGTGTACTTTTAGTATGGATGGGTTTCTCCACGTTGGCCAGGCTGGTCTCAAACTCCTGACCCCAAGTGATTTGCCTGCTTGGCCTTCCAAAGTGCTGGGATTATAGGCGTGAGCCACTGCGCTCAACTTAAATTTTTTTTTTTAATAGAGATGGGGTTTCTCCATGTTGGCCAGGCTGGTCTCGAACTCCTGATCTCAGGTGATCCGCCCACCTCAGCCTCCCAAAGTGCTGGGATTACAGGCGTGAGCCACTGCGCCTGGCCTTGACCTAAAATTTTTTTTCTGACCATTGCTTTCTTATGAGTTGGGAATATTGTGATCTGTGCTTGGCCTAATAATGGTGATGCATTGTTTCAGTACAGACTTTTTTTTTTTTTGAGACAGTGTCTCACTCTGTCACCCAGGCTGGAGTACAGTGGTGCAACCATAGCTCACTGCAGCCTTAAACTCTTGGGTTTACTGATCCTCTCCAGCTTGCCAACTAGCTGGGACTACAGGCACGCGCCTGGCTTAGTTTTTTAAAAATGTTTTAGAGATGGGGTCTTGCTATGTTGCCCTCAAACTCCAGGGCTCAAGTGATCCTCCCACCTCCGTTTCCTGAGTTGCTGAGATTACGGGCATGAGCCACTGCATGGAGCTAGGAATATTTCCTTACAGCAGAATTTCTTCACAAAAATGAAAACAAGGCTACAACTGAAACAGGTTTCTGAGTGGCTCATTTGTTAGCTAGGCAAGGAAAACCATTTCCTGGATGTTGAGTTAATTAAATAGTGTTTGATTGTACCAGCTGGAGAAGTGTGTCCAGAGAAAACACACTTTTGTTTCAGAGTGTTAGCTTTTCAGCAAGAACAGTGTCCTGTTGAGGATGTTAGGAGCAACATCAGTAGTCAATTAAAAAAGGCTGATTTTGTGGGGTATTTCCTGGCTATTGATGAGTCCACAGCTAGTTACTAATACTGTTTAGTTTTTACTTATTCGTGGAGTTGATGCCAGGTTTGAAGTGAGTATAGAATTAGCTTCTATGTATAGTTTGTTTGAAACAACTGCAGGTGAGAATATTTTCAAAAAAAGCTAAGAAAACACTAATTCAGTACAACCTAAAGTGTAATTCTACTAGTATCTTTTACAGCTGGTGGTAGTAAAAATATGTGTACAGCAGAAACGTATTTAATTGGATAAATTTACAAAGCTTGTGAAAATGTAAGGTGGTTTACTCATTGTGTTATTCATCAGCAGATACTTTGCAAAAAATAATTTATCATGTGTTATTGAACTCTTAGCAGCAGTGATTTTACTTGGTTTTGTGAATCATCAGTTCCATGAATTTTTGTCAGAAATAGAAGCTGAATATTCTGATGTGGTGCAGAGTAGTTTGATGGCTTAGGAGTGGTAGTTTTCTTTTCATTTTTTGAGGTCAGGGCTGAGATTGAAAATTTTCTGAATGAGAAGAATTGCTGTCAACCACTACTATTGAATGCTGAATGGCTTTGAAAATCAGCTTTTGTTGCGGATTAGGTAATGTTTGTTAATTCAACCTAAAATTACAAAGCAAAACAGTGCCTATGCAAACCCTGTGCTGCAGTGAAGTCATTTCGATGACAGCTAATGTTTAATTGTCATGTTAAGCTGCCTTGTATACTTATGTGCTGTCAAAAGTGAAAACAATGGCAAGCTCTCCATTCCTGCACACATGTTCCAAATGTAGGCTATAATTCTATCAGGGATTTTGCATCTTGATATGAATGCAAAGGAAATGGCTCTATTTTGAAATCCACTGGATGGGTTTGGTGGCTTACGCCTGTAATCCCAGTGCTTTGGGAGGCTAAGATGGGCAGATCACTTGAAGTCAGGAGTTCAAGACCAACCTGGCCAACATGGTGAAACCCCATCTCTACCAAAAAAATTAAAAAATTAGCCAGGTGTGGTGTTGTATGCCTGTAATCCCAGCCACTCGGGAGGCCGAGGCAGGAAAATCACTTGAACGTGGGAGGCAGAGGTTGCAGTGAGCTGAAGCTGAGATTGCGCTACTGCACTCCCGCCTGGGCAACAGTGAGACTCCATCTAAAAAAATAAAACTAAATCCATTAACCTGCACAGCTGAGTTTATGCCAAACCTTCAACTGGAAATGATTAATAGATAAGTATTAAGATTAATATAATTCTGGCCAGGTGTGGTGGCTCATGCCTGTAATCCCAGCACATTGGAAAGCCGAGGCAGGTGGATCACCTGAGGTCAGGAGTTTAAGACCAGCCTGACCAACATGATGAGACCCTGTCTCTACTAAAAAAAATACAAAAATTAGCCAGGTGTGGTGGCAGGCACCTGTAATCCCAGCTACTCAGGAGGCTGAAGCAGGGAGAATCCCTTGAACCTGGGAGGCAGAAGTTGTAGTAAACTGAGATTGTGACACTGCACTCCAGCCTAGGCACCAGAGTGAGACTCCATCTCAAAAAAAAAAAAAAGATTTCTATAATTGTCATCTAAAAGATGGATATCCTGAATAAAAATTATATGCTTGAGCCTGGGCAACACAGCAAAACCCTGTCTCTACAAAAAATACAAAAATTAGCTAGGCGTGGTGGCGCATGCATGCTTGCTTGTACCAGCTACTTGGGAGGCTGAGGTAGAAGGGTCTTCTGAGCCCAGGAGGTTGAGGCTGCAGTGAGCTGTGACTGTGCCACTGCACTCCAGCCTGGGTGACAGAGTAAGACTCTGTCTCTAAAAGGAAAAACAAAAACCAAACCTGTATGCTTGTGGAATGTTATTAACATTTAGAAATATCTGTGTATGCAAAAAGACATTATCAAAGATGAAACACATAAAATCTCCTTACAGGCGACGTGTGGTGGCTCACACCTGTAATCCTATCACTTCAGCAGGTCAAAGCAGGGGAGGATTACTTGAGCTCAGGAGTTCAAGATCAGCCTGGGTAATATAGTGAGACCTTGTCTGTACTAAAAATAAAAAAAATTTAGCTAGGCATGGGGGCACGAGCCTCTAGTCCCAGCTACTGCAAA